GTCTGGGGGCTGTGCCCCTGACCAGAGTGGGTCCCAGGCCAGCAGGCTCGGCCCAGCTAGCAGACGTGCAGGAGGGGTGGGGTGGGGGCCGGGGCCCTCTGGTTACTCCTCAGCGCAGCAGCCCCAGGGACACATCCCCTTTGGTGCTGCCACTCCTTCGCCAGCCCCCATCCCTCCCCCAGCCTCGTCAAAGGCAGAAAGGCTTCTCCTGGTCTTTTCTGTGAAGGGAGCCTCCTGGCAACGACTGAGCTGCTCAGATACAGGCTGGCTGGGGATGCCCTCTCGGTGGACACCTACTAACAGCACGCCCACCTGTCAACCGCCTCCGCTGAATCGTGGTTTGGTCGCTTTATTTTTCCCAGAAGCGGCATTATTTGGCCACATCTATATGACATATATGAGGCTTCCCAGGTGGCTCAGTGGTAAAGAATCTGCCTACAATGCAGGAGCTGTAAGAGATGTGGGTTTGATCCCTGGGTCGGGAAGATCCTTGGAGGAGGGCATGGCAAGCCACTTCAATATTCTTGCCTGGAGAATCTCATGGACAGAGGAGCCTGGTGGGCTACAGTCCACGGGGTCACAAAGAGTCAGACACAACGGAGCACAAGCATAAAACATAATATGACATACTACATATATTATATATAGAGATATATATATATATAATATATATGACAGCATCTCTGAAGAAGGCAGAGACCCCACTGGAGCTTCAAGAAGAGCATTTCAGGGAGGAGTGCCAGAAATGTCCACCTTTGAAGATGTATAGGATGCACCCCAAAGAGCCGAGGACCAGAAGGGTGAGGGATTGGAGGGTGCTGGGTGTGCGGGCTGGCTCTTTGGCACCAGCAGCCCCAGTGGGGGGACTAGAGTCACAGCCAGGGCTACCAGATTTGGGGGCACATCAGATACACTTCATGGCAAACAGATGGGCAAAAAGTGGAAATAGTGACAGACTTTATTTTGAGGGGCTTCAAAGTCACTGTGGACAGTGACTGCAGCCACAAAATTAAAAGATATTTGCTCCTTGGGAGAAAAGCTATGACAAACCTATTCAAAAGCAGAGATGTTACTTTGCCAACAAAGGCCCATATAGTCAAAGCTATGGTTTTTCTAGTAGTCATGTACAGATGTGAGAGTTGGACCATAAAGAAGGCCAAACGCCAAAGAATGGATGCTTTTGAATTGTGGTGCTGGAGAAGACTCCTCAAAGTCCCTTAGACTTCAAGGAGATCAAACCAGTCAATCATAAAGGAAATCAACCCTGTATACTCATTGGAAGTACTGCTGCTGAGGCTGATGCTCCAATACCTTGGCCACCTGATTGCAAAGAGTCAATTCACTGGAAAAGACCCTGATGCTGGGAAACACTGAGAGCAGGAGGAGAAGGGGACGACAGAGGATGAGATGATTGGATGGCACCATCAACTTGATGGACATGAGTTTGAGCAAGCCCCAGGAGATGGTGAAGGACAGGGAAGCCTGGCATGCTGCAGCCCATGGGGGTCACAGAGAGTCAGACACGACTGAGCGACTGGACGACAACAACAACCTATACGTCCTGGTGCCTCCTCACTCAGCAGCCAGCAGCATCCACTTCCGGTGCTGATGCTGCCAGAGCATTAACGATGCTGTAAAATAATAAGGCTCGGGACAGCCCGCACGAGAGCGAGCACTTGATAAAAGGGAGATTTACAGCCACATCCATCAATTTAATTATCTTTTACTAGGGTTTAAACTTAGGAGTAATACTAATCTCTATTTAGCACGGTTTATAGGATCTATGGACACTTTACAATCTTCCTCTACTCACAAGTGTCAAATTATGGCAATATTGATAAAACGGAGTAAACAGCGAGGGAGACAACCCCAGAACGGGCTAATACTCTTTTTACTGCACCGTAAAAGCCTATTACTCTCTGATTTCGGGTGAAAATTTGTGGCCAATAATCTGAGATGATAATGTTTTGGAAACAATCACACAGATAATAAAAGCTGCCCTCTCCTTCAACACCCCCACCCATCCCCAATCCCAGCCCAGCCTCCTCCTCAGACTTGTCCATAAAAAGACAGGGCCACAGGGCCCGAGCCAGAGGCTGCCTGGTGATCGGCAGCCTCAGTGCAGGGCCTTGGGGGCCTGGGAGGCCTTGGAGACCGTTCAGGGACAGAGACGCAGGCACCCCATGGCCTCAGTTGCCCTGCTCTCAAGCTTCCACGCCCCCTCTGCCCACACAGGCCTCCTGCAAGGAAACCCTCTCCAGAGGTCTTCACAGGAATCTCACTTTTGGGGGTCGAGGAGGAAGGAGTAGCCTGCAACATGATCTTGGACACAGCACTTGGGGACCACCTCCAGCCAATGATGTGGCTCCAGAAAAGGGCCCTCAGGCCAACACCCCCAAGGAACTGCTGTGTAACCCGGAGTCTGGTCTCTTTCTCATTCGCTCACTTTGCTGTTGGCTCAGGATTCCCCAATAGCATCTGTTACTGTTGTTCAGTCGCTCAGTTGTGTCCGACTCTTTGCCACCCCATGGACTGCAACACGCCAGGCTTCCCTGTCCTCCATCATCTCCCGAAGCCTTGCTCAAACTCACGTCCATCAAGTCGGTGATGCCAACCAACCATGTCATCCTCTGTCACCCCTTCTCCTCCTGCTTTCAATCTTTCCCAGCATCTGGCTCTTTTCCAATGAGTCGGCTCTTCGCATCAGGTGTACCAGAGCTTCAGCTTCAGCATCCGTGCTCGGCACACGTTTTCTCCATCTGAAACTCCTGTGCTTCCCAGCCTGACTTTCTTGGAACCAAGACACCCCCCCCCTTCCCCACCACCCCAGCAAACACAGCAGGGCTTTCAAGCCGAAGCTCCCTACTGGGTGGACGGCACTCACCAGAGATGCTGGCCGGTTCTGGACGGAGAGCAGGAGAGACTTGTGCCCTCCTCTCCACTCCGGGACTTGCGTCCCTGCCTCAGTCCGGGCAGGCAGCGTCACGCTTGCGCTGTGCTTTAGAGGCACCTGTTCTCCAGGCCATCTGCATCCCCTGCCCCATGCTCGCCTCAACCGCTGGGCCCAGGCTGGAGCTCAGGGAGTTTTTGGCAGACTCGAGTTTTTGGCATCGAGTTCGTCCTCCAGACCTGAAACCACGCCTCTGGTCCTTGGTTCTGCTGCTCTGCCCACGTCCTGATCCAAACAGCGCATGGTGGCTGGGGACGTGGGACAGAGGAGGGGGGATGGGGGCGCCTGGCCCCACCCACAGCACACAGCCGGCCCCTGAGGACGGCCTGGTGCCCTCACCCCCACCATCACCACAACACCTCTAAACACTCTCAGTACCGCTGTGGAAGCAGTACACATTCACAAACATGAACCCCGGTGCTTTCAAACATGAGTCTCCGCCAACCACCAGTCAGATATCATCGTTGTGAATCAGAGACCACTCCTGATTTGGTGGCCGAAGAAATGAGCTCCTGGAAATTCTCTGAGTCACAGTTAATCGATCAGAACCATGGAATGACTTGCCTTCTCCTCAAGTCTTTATGAAAATCAGAGGAACATGTAATATTGATAGAAGCGCCTCGTAAACTGTAAGGTGCTGTAACAACGGCAACAATAACATCCCCCAGCAGTTACTCACTCAGTGCCAGGTGCCATGATGACCATCTCATACAGATTAACTCCTTACAATAACACACCCAAATCCCTATGCCCAATGTGTTAGCCACTCAGTCATGTCCGACTCTTTGTGACTCCATGGACTGCAGCCTGCCGGGCTCCTCTGTCCATGGCATTCTCCAGGCAAGAATTGTAGAGTGAGTTGCCATGCCTTCCGCCAGGGGATCTTCTCGACCCAGGGATTGAACCCACATCTTTTGTATCTCCTGCATTGGCTTCCCTGATAGCTCAGTTGGTAAAGAATCTACCTGCAAGGCAGCAGACACCAGTTCGACTCCTGGTAGGGAAGATCCGCTGGAGAAGGGATAGGCTACCCACTCCAGTGTTGTTTTGCTTCCCCTGTGGTTCAGCTGGTAAAGAATCCGCCTGCAATACAGGAGACCTGGATTCCATGCCTGGGTTGGGAAGATACCCTGGAAAGGGGAACAGCTACCCACTCCAATATTCTGGCCTGGAGAATTCCATGGACCATGTAGTCCATGGGATTGCAAAGAGTCAGACACAACAAAGCAACTTTCATTTTCAACTTTTTTTTTCAACTTTTGTATCTCCTGCATTAGCAGGCAGGTTCTTTATCATCTGAGCCACCAGGGAAGGTCCTATGAGGGAGATACTGTTACTTTTATCCCATTTTAATGAAGCTGAAACCAAGGCTAGGAGAGGCAATGGGACTCAAGGTCACACAGCTGGTGAATGAGAGGTGGCCTAATGCCCCTGCTGCTCCTGAAGTGGGCAGGTGGGGCTGCCTGGCTAGGGTAATGGTCATGTGGTCAGAGTAGCCAGCTGGCCTGGTGGCTGCAGGGACCCAGGGTCAGATGGGAGTCAGAGAGCCAGCCCTCTGCCAACACAGCCCTCTGGATCAAAGTATAAAGATACACCCCTCTTGAGAGTTCTGAAATTCCCCAGAGCTGACCCAGGCAAAATATCTAGATACTAACCTGCATGTGTGTGTGCTCAGTCGTGTCTGACTCTTTGCAACCCCACAGACTATAACCCATCAGGCTCCTCTGACCTTGGGATTCCCCAGGCAAGAATACTGGAGCGTGTTGCCATGCCCTCTTCTATGGGATCTTCCTGACCCAGGGATCGAACCCAAGTCTCCTGCAGCAGTTACACGGCAGGTTGAAGCTTTACAAACCACCAGGGAAGGCCTAGATACTACCCTAGCTTCTCCCAGTTTTGAAACTGGTGTGGAGGGGGTGCAGTGGGGGCTGTAGGGGCTAGAGGACCTTGTAACCCATCTGGGCAGGGTGATTTGTCCAAGGTCACACAGCAGAGGGGAAGCTGGAAGTCAGCTCTCTCCCCTTGCGGCTCAGGGCTCATCTGGCCAGCCATGCCAGCCTTCGCAAGGTGAGCCGCATCCCACATAAGGGCCAGTCAGAGCATCCGGATTAAATGCTGATTCCAAGGCCACCCTAGCTTCCTGCTGGCCAGGAATCTGCACTTTCAACAGATCTATTCCCCTTGCACGCCTTGTTCCAGAGGAGGTGAGATGCACCCAGCGCTGCCTTGGGAGGCCTCGACCGCTGCGTGGACCGGAGGCCGCGGGGCTGGGCTCCAACCGGCTTCTTCCTGAGTTAACTGTAAGTGCAGCAGTGCAGAAAAGGCTGACCCCGCCAGGGAAGTAAACCTACTTCCAGGCACACACTGCTGCTTCTGAAACCTACACACAAGTCTTTTAAAACCGCCTTTCCTTTCTTTATTTTCCGAAGCCCTTTTCCAGGTGACTTCTCTTGTCTCTTTTCAAGCCCGACCCAACCCAAGGCTGGTCCTTCAGTCCCCATGACAATCCCACGCCCCCTGAGAAGCATTTACAGAACATGGGTGCACTTTTACCCTCCCGAAGGTGACTCAGAAGACAGAGCCCTGGCCTGAGCTTGTACCCAGAGTGGGGAAATGGCCGTGTTTCCATGCTGGAACTGTCTCCGTGTGAACACCTGTGCCTGGATCCTGGCGCTGCGGGGAGAGCCGCAGGGGTGGCTCCGAAGATACCCGCAGCTCCTAGGGCAAGGTCCAGATGAGCGTGCAGGCCAGGGGCCACACGGTGTGACCCTGGTGGTGCAATCGCCACCACTGCCATCCAGGGCTCTGCAAACCTGAGCACCGAGAGAGGAGAGAGGCACAGTCAATCAGAGGGCTAACCAGCAAGCTCGCCTTCATGGGGGTTCGTTTATCAACTCGCTTTCAAGAGGCCTCAGGACACACGGCAAGTGCACGTGTGTTTGAAACAGAGATGAAAATGAGAAGATGCAGAGCTGTGGAGGGGTGGGGACGGCACCCCGACAGAGAAAAATCGGGGAACTCAGGGCAAAGGGAGACCCGTGGGCTGGAGAGAAGGGAGCCTAGAAGGATGGAAACCCCAATCCAAGGGAGGAGAGCTGTCCTTGCAGGTTCTCTCAGGGTCTGCTTGCCAGCCCTTCTAGAACAAGGTGGTTGATAAGGTGGCCCCTTAATAGTCAGCAGAATAGACTTCAGCAGCTGTAAAGCATCACCCAGATGTGTGTGTCACTACCAGAACATACCAGAACATTCCTGATACGTTTAGAGCCAACCCCAAAATAGGCAGGGCCATCCATCTGCCCTGACACCACAGCCAGGAGCAGAGGGGCCGGGTGAGCCGCAGAGAAGGCAGGCGGCGAGGAGCTGGGCATTGTTGGAAAATCAGAAAGACTTCTTTTGACACAGGAAAGAATCAGCCCCTCTGTCTCAAGAAAAAGAGAGATTTCTGATAAAAGGAAGGTTCCAATTTTCAGCAGTCATGCTCAAGGCAGTGGTAGTCAAATGTCAACAATGGCTAGAAATAAAGTCAATATCATTCCTTTCCATGAACACATAAATATACTAGAGACGATTTATCTGGCCATAAATTATTTCCAAGCACACATTTTTCCTCTTTTCCACTGCACGTATTTTAAAATCTGTGTCACATGTATCGACACGTGGGGTGGGGGTATGGAAGCACACAGATAATTTTCAATCTGTAAAACATACATTAAAAAAAAATTCTGAAAATGTGAAAGAGAAACAGTGATTGATTTGAATGGTGATTGGGGCAGGAATTGCTTGGGAGGTGCGGTTGGTCCCACAAATGATGCAGGAGACAAAGGGCTCCAACCAGCAAAGAAAAAGCCCACCCCCAACCCCCATCCAGCCCAGGGTGTTTGCCGTGTGCGTGGAGGCAAAAAGTCAGTTTGGGATTCTGCCCGCCCGATCTTATCCGCCCAATCTTATCAGGTGGTAAATCTGTCCTTTGATCTTGTCAACAATGTGGAAGGTTGGAGACAGCTGCCACCACCCCAAGTCAGCAGGGCCTCACCATGGCCTCATAAAACATTTATGAAACCTGTAATAAACAGGCCTGATAAGGAAGAGGGCTCAAGATTTCAAAACTCAGCAGCTACGGAGAAAATGCCCTTCTCTGCCTCCAAGGTTCCTTTATTTGAAGAACAAACACAAACCATCAATTCCCACTGGCCATAAAGTTTCTGAGCAAAGAGTTTCACCAAGCCCTGAGATTAGCAGAATTTGTTTGGAGCCTTGCCCATAAGGGAAAAACCACTCGCCCCCCCACCCCCACCCCCACCCTGCCGCCTGAAATTCTCTGAGCTGATATGGGCACCGGGGCGGCCGGGCAAGACAGAGGGAGGGGGCCAGAGCGACAATAAAAATTCAGTCACGGAGAAATAGAGAGTCATTTGATGCCACAAAGTAAACTAATTTCTATGATTGAGTTTAGAAAAGAGAAGAGTAGCATTTTCATGGTGTGTCACAAAATATAACTTTGTTAATATTTATTTTAACTTCTGTTTTCTTTTCTGGGAAATTAATGGCATTCTCTGAGTTTAGCAGAAGTAGAAAGAGCCCTCACAACACCCCCACTGTCCCGGAGCTTTTTTAGTTGACTTTACTGGGCAGGTGTCAGGTGAGTGGTTGGACCCACAGGTCTTCAAAGAATCTAGAAATAAAGCCAAGACAATCGGGCTGCCCTGATGGCTCAGTGGGTAAAGAATACGCCTGCAAGGCAGGAGACACAGGAGACATGGGTTCAGTTCCTGAGTCAGGAAGATCCCCGGGAGGAGGAAATGACAACCCTCTCCAGCATTCTTGCCTGGAGAATCCCACGGACAGAGGAGCCTGGCGGGCCACAATCCATGGAGTCGCTAGAGTCAGACACAACTGAGCGACCGAGTGCACACGAGAGACAGAAGCACAATGACAACGACTGGAAACTCCTCTCGGAACAGGAATGTGCTTCGGGGCAGGGAAAGCTGGTGGCCGCATGCTGCAGGAGGGGCCTGGCACTGTGGGCATCCAAGGAAGGACGAGTAGGTGAAAGGAAGCAAGACGGAAGCTGCTGCAGGCATCAGTCGAGGGAGATGCTACATTCAAGGAGCCGTGGCAGCACAGCTGAGCTGAGACAGAGAGGGACAGAGCAAGCCTACACACCAGAGGAACAGCTTTGTTTAGTTCCTGCTTCAAGCTGGTCGAAGGCGGCATAATCCAAGGATAACTGAATTGACTGGGAGGAAGATTCTAGGTCTCTCATATCTTCTGCCTGGTCAACCAGGTGACCAACTCCATGAGAAATGAAAAAGTGGACCCTTGGGGTGCGGGCTGCTGAACAACCCCACCGCTGGCTGAGCCACGCTCCACAAAAGCCTCTCCACCCCCACCCCCTCCCCACCAGGTCCCCAGGCTGGGAGATGCTCTCCTGCCTCCCTCCTTGGTGCCCACCTGTCGGGCTCACATTCCTACTCAAGGTCCACACCTGCCTCACCGCTCAGCACAAAGTAAATCCGCACACATCCTCACACGGGGGCCCCTGGGGGGTGAGAGCGTCCTGTGTCCACTGTGTTTTCCTTTCAGTCTTTCTGTGTTCAGAGGGTGGAGGCCACCTCGACTGATCTCGGAAGCGACTGCCCCACAGAGAGCGCCTGGAGCGGACGACAGTGGCGGGCCAGAAGGGGAGCCCCAAGGCGCTCCCACGCCCGTGGTCGGCTTCTGTGCCCAGAGCACTGACCAGCAGGTGGGCTTCAGCGTTCCAGGCTAAGGACACGCAGCTGGCAGCATCTGAGCTCTCCCAGCATGCGGGCACTAGCCCTGGTCAACAGTGGCCTGGCCGAAAGCCACCGAGGTGGGCAGAGATGAACTGACCGTTCCGTAAGACACAGGACCCCCTGAGCGAACAGGCTATGTTTTGAGGTTCAGAGCTGAAGTGTCTGCCGTGCTTCTGGACCAGGGGAGCTGAGCTGGACTTTCATGGAGAGCTCGCCCAGGGGCTCTTTCCAGAAACCCCATCCAATTGGCCATTGGCAGGCAGTGGTTGCCTCAAGGCCACTGTCCTCTGGTGCCTGGAAACTTGGGGAGAGGAAGGAGCTGGCTGTTGGGACAACTGCGGGCGAGAGATGAGGGGCCCTGTGTTCCGCCCCCCAGGACAGGCCCGAGCATCTCCCGGAAGTCAGGAGGCAGGGCGGGACGCGGTCAAGGGCACAAGCCCTCTGCCAACCGCCCAGGCCCCACGCCCGCCCTCACACTTCCTACTCTGTGACCTTGGGCACTAAAGCCTGTGCTGGGCTTTCTCATCTATAGAATCAGAAGGGTGAAACCATGGCTCTCGCTGGATCACCATGGAAAATGGATGAGACTACACATGGGCGGCACCGGGAACCCTCAACACCGGTGGGCGTCATCTTTAGTATTCTGAGACCTTGCCAGCATCTTTCCTCCTTAGTGCTTAGAACAAACAGCTTGTAATTTTCATGCACATTTCACATCCACAAAAGATTCTGTATGAAGCCTGAGTTTTGCCCTGAAGTTTGGTACTTTCTGTTTCTTACACACTCTGACATCGCCAATCTTGATACCTTAGAAACTGTAACTCTCATTCTTCTGGTATTGCCCAATTGTGCTCAGTTACTTCAGTTGTGTCTGACTCTTTGCGATGGACAGTAACCCACCAGTCTCCTCCGTCCATGAGATTCTCCAGGCAAGAATACTGGAGTGGGTTGCCATGCCCTTCTCCAGCGGATCTTGCTGATCCAGAGATTAAACCCTGCATCTCCTGCATCGCAGGCGGACTGTTTATCACTGAGCTACCGGGGAAGCTCACTGCCTATTTAGTTATCTCACATACACACACACACACACACACAAACCGCATAGAGTGGATGTGGTGATCAGCCCCATTTTACTGGCAAGGCAACCGAGGTCTGGCAATGGGTTTCCAAGCAAGGCTAGCGGGTGTGAACCTCGCCTCTGAGTCTTGGAGCCTGACTCTGCTTGGACCTGACTGGACAAGACGATGAGGAGAGGTCGAACTGGGGTGGGGTTGGGGGGGCAGGTAGGTCAGAGGCAAGGACGGGGATAAGGGTGAGGGAGGGGGTGTCCTAGCAGACGGAGGTCACAGGGACATCCTAGTTAAAGGCAACAAAGACCCCAGCCCAACAATCCCCGGCCAAGGTTAAGGCGAGTGAACATGTTGTGAGGTTATGGCATGCTCCTCCGGGCAGATGGGCAGGGGGGCAGGTGAGGGCTGGCCACACTCACCCCTGTGCCGTCTCCCTGCTTCACAGACACCATCCACCCCAGGGTGGCCTTCAAGCATCCTGGCCGCCACTCCCCCACTTTCCTTCCGGGCCAGTGGGGAAGTCCCTTCATCTGGCACAGTTGAAAGATTCCAAACAGTTGACAATTTGGAGGTTGGGTGTCTGCACACCGTGCTCAGAGCAGCACTATTCACAGTAGCCAAAAGGTAGGAGCTACCTAAGTGTCACCGAGGGACCAACAGACAAACAAACTGCAATGTATCCATGCAATGGAATATTACTCAGCCCTCAAAACACAGTGAATCCTGACACAGGCTACAGTGTGGAGGGCGGTGAGGATATAATACTTGGGGAAAAAAAGACAAGGGCTATGGGACTCCACCTGTATGAGGTCCTTGGAGCAGTCAGATCCGTGGAGACAGAAAGCAGACCTGTGGGGCCAGGGGCTGGGGGTGGGGAGCTGCTGTTTGGTGGGGACAGAGTTTTAGTTTCACATGATGAAAAGATTCTGGGGGTGGTGGCGCAAGAACATGAACAGACCCAACACTGCTGAACTGAGTGCTTAAAAATGGTGAAGATGGAAAAAAAATGGTGAAGATGGTAAATTTGACGTTATGTGTATTTCACCATAATTTGTTTAGAAACTCGGATGGGCTACGCTGCCTCAGTCCACGCCCAGCAGGAAGTCAGCGCACCCTCCCCATGCCCTGAGGGGACACCTGGCCTTGCCTCCCAGACACCTGCCCACGCGTGCTCAGTGCCCTGGGCAGGGCTGCAGCTGCCCAGAGGAAGGGGGCCAAGTTCACCCCTCTCGGTTCCCCTGCTACTCAGGCAGGGCCTGACACAGAGCCGGTGCTCAGTAAAGACGCGTGGCAGGGAAGGAGGGTGGGAGAGAGAGAAGAGGAGCAGACAGACAGACACACGAGGCAGAGGCTGACAGACACGATGCGGCTCCCTCTCTGCATCACGTGCGTGCTTACGGCCTGAGAACCAAGGGGGCTTTCTAGGCTCTCAGAACTTGCCCTGGCTTCATTTTAGGACTTGATGAGTCCTGCCCCCATCTCACTGCCCAGAATTCTGAAACTCCAGAGGGCTGGGGGGTGGGTTCCGGGTCTCTCCTATCCTGGGCATTTCAGGGCCCAGACGACCTCGGACGTGAGCACAGGGGCTCAGCTGTCCACGACCAGCATCCATGGCAAAGGGCCCCGCAGCTGCAGAGGTTCACACCGGCCAGGCCCCCATCACTTCGCTCCCCCTGGGCCCTGACAGAGGCGCCTCCTCCCCAGCACCTCTCAGCATCTTAGTTCTAGATCCCTGAAGGCTCCCTCCCTGGTGAAAATGAAGTGATCCACTCCACAGAGCCTTCCCTGCACCCCCTCTGGCCCCTCACCCCTGGGGCCTCCTTCCAGAGGAACAGCTGCCCCCGCGGTTCCGTTATCTGCACAGACTGTTCCCAGGCGATAAAGGGCCAGGGTCAGGTGCGGGGAGCTTTGTGGCCCGGCTGAGCGCAGGGATTTCCCTGGCCCGTCGCCTCTGCTGTTTGCTCACCTGTCATCTCAGCCTGGTGACGAGGCTGACATGAAAGGGGGAGCGGGCGCGTGTGGCAGGAGAGGTCACTTTTTGGAAGGCTGCTGGCTATAAACCTGCCTAGGCGGCTTTCGCTGGAGGCCCCAGGCAGCCATGCAGCCGGTCCCCAGTTAATGTGTAACCAGTGAGCGCCCCTCGGGCAGCCATGGAAGGTGGTTTCGCCCCCCACTCCCACCCCTTTCTCCCCACTTCTCCAGGCCAGCCACCTCATCCTAAGCTTACTGGGCCCCAAACCGCTGAAAACTGAAGGCCAGAGGTGCATCCCAGCCCCCAGCCTCCCCCAAAGGCCCAGCTCTTCCAGCTCAGGCTGGGAGGGTTGCCCACACGGGGTGCAGTCCAACCACGACCTCTGACCCTGGGGGAGGACAGAGCATGGGTGTCAGGGGTGTTGGCCTCATACTGCAGAGGGGCCGGCTAGGACGGCACCCTTGGAGTGAAGATCCGACGTGTGCTGTCTGTTCCCTGCTCCTCGGCTCCCAGCAAAAAAAAATCAGTGCCTTTTTTGTAAATCACACCAATGAGGGTTGCACAGTGCTTTGGGGTCGAGCTGATGTCAAGAAGTATCAAAATACAATGCAGGCAAGGACCAGCGGTCCTGAGCACACCACAGAGTGGTCCTTGGTAAGAGCTGAAGAAATGGGCCATGGAGACTACAGTAATCGGTTAAAATGACAAATTCCTAAAAAGCACCAAATCCAGAGTGAATTTGATGTCAGGGTGGGCAGGGTTTTTCCAGAAGCCCTTTCACTGAAGTATATTAATAACAGAAAAGCACACAAATCGCAAGAATAGAGCTCAACAAATTCCCTACCCAGGGCGTTTGCCTGTGGGCCCTGCACCCAAATTACATCACAGAGCACGACCGGCCCCAGAAGCCCCCAGATCCCTTCGGGGCGCTTCCCTCCACCGGTAACCACCATCCTGACTTCAAACACCCCAGGCAGGTTTTGCCTGGTCTTAAATGTCACATAAGTTCTCTGTGTGCCTGCCTCCCTCTGGGTCACCTGGACGCGTGTGCTGGCTCACCCCCGTGGTCACTGCCCTCACCTGCGGCTGGACCCCACGGGGACATGTCGCTGTCTACTTGCCCCTCTCCTGGTAGTGCTCCTGAGGGTGGGTCACGGTCTGGGCCACCATGACGAGAGCACATGTTGGTGTATTCCCAGTGGACACTGTGCACTCCTGCTGGGCGCACACCAAGCTGGGGACCAGCCTGGACTCCAGGGAATCTGTTTGTCCTTTTTCTCTCTGAGTTAAGTAAGCAGGTGTTGAGTATGAAAAGTTGAGTTGAGTATGTTTGCAGAGCATTGATTTTTAATGAAAGTGGGTATAAAAGCCAGGAGAGAGAGATAACATGCTACTAAAGTGCAGACCAATGACTCTTAAAACGCTCGCAGCTTCCGCAAGTGGGTCGTAAACGTAGCAGAAATAGCGTGAGTGCAGGAGCACCCAGGAGTGGTGCTGGGCAGGATTGACCGGAGGAGGATGCGGACCTTGAGGCTACTGAGCTGGGATCAGGACCCCAGTCCCTGGGGCAGGAAGGACCAGGCTGCACGAGAATGACGTCCCCACGTCCAGCCCCGTCGCCCCACTGGGCACCCATCACAGCCTCACCTGGCCTTCCGACCACCCTCACCCCACCAGGCAACAAGCAGGGGAATTCCCCGAGGCACGGGGTCTGGCTACCTTGTCCTCTTCAGCCCGTATACGAACGTGGCTATTGGACGTGAAGTCAGCCGACTCTTAGGGTGAAAAGCGGTCCCTGGAGGCTGCCCTACCCCATGCAAAGTTCCCAAAGCCCTCCTCACTCTTCCTTAATGAAAAAGGAGGAAATTTTCAGTAGGAAGGGTGCCCCCTTTCAAAAACCACTCCTTGAATATCTGGAGTTAGCTGGGGGTGAGAGGAAGGGGAAAAGAACATGGACACACTTGCCCCAGGGGGCCCTGCAGGGCAGCGCCAAGCCAGCAGGAAGGAGGGCAGCCTGGGGGAGGTTCTGTGGTCAAAGCAGCGAAGGCCGCATCCACACTTTCCCGAGCCCGACTTCCAATCAAACCCGTAAACACTGAGAGAGCCAGAGCCTCAGGGGGACCCGGCCAGGGGCAGTCGCGCCCCTGTTCTCAGGAGCTTGTGCTCCGGCTGCTGGGATGAACCATCCAAGCCCCGGGAGGTGCCCTCTGAAGGACCGCACGGTGGGGCTGATGGGCAGGGGGTAGCGAGGCTGATGTGGGCAGGAGGGATGCTAAAGAAAGGACTGCTCTGAAGACACAAAAGGATGGTGACGGGATGGGCTGGGTTCTGAGGGCAAGCTGAAACCCACCCTACCCCGTCACTCCTGGCGGGCGACATTCTATGGGATCGCAAAGGGTCAGACATGGCTGAGCGGTTGGCGCTTTCACTTTGAACGGAATCTGGGGCTTCCCAGGTAGGACCGCTGACCTCGGGCACAGGCTCTGCCTCCCCCGCTTGGGGTCCATTAGTTAAAGCGGCCCCAGCAGCTCCGACCACCCCCTGCCTGTGCCGTGAACCCAGGACACATGGCACGTCGGGGGCAGCACCTCCTCTGTCCCCTCCCCGCCAGTTGTATCTGCATCCAAGCCCTTGACTGTGAGGTTCACGGCTCTAGAGAAGCTGTCTCTACCCTAAGCCCCTGGTGAACCTGTCACAGGAAGGGACCCATCGTCATAAATCCTGGAGGTAATGCTGACGCACTGAGGGGCCCCTGTGCCCAGCACCCCCTCACTCTCGGGCACAAAGTGAAGTGGGGACTCAGATGGTAAAGAATCCACCTGCAATGTGGGAGACCTGGGTTCGATCCCTGGTTTGGGCAGATCCCCTGGAGAAAGGAACAGCTACCCACTCCAGTATTCTGGCCTGGAGAAATACACGGACAGTGGAGCCTGGTGGGCCACAGTCCATGGGGTCACAAATCTCAATATCCCAATATCCTGGGGGTGAAGAGACGCTCTCAAACTCATCAGAATGGGCCTCCCAGCAGAGCTTTTACCCAGTGATTATTTTATGAGATTGTTATCACCTGCAGCCACAGGATTAATAAAAATTGGGGGTAATAAAAGAAATCACAAAGGAAACTAATGCTGTCAACTGTGTCATAAAAGTGGGACTTCCCTGGTGGCTCAGTGGTAAAGAATCCGCCTGCCAGTGCAGGAGACTCCAGTTCGATCCCTGGGTTGGGAAGGTCCCCTGGAGGAGGGCATGGCCACCCACTCCAGTATTCTTGCCTGGAGAATCCCATGGACAGAGGAATCTGATGGGCTACCGTCCCGGGCTCACAAAGAGTCGGACACGACTGATCAGCTGAGCATGTGACATAAAGAGAGGAAGGAGGCTTCATCTGTAGTGACGTATTCTCCCATCATGCAAACTCAGGAATGAGGGCCAGGAGGAAGGGGGCATAAAGGAGGAAGCTTTAGATGCGGGCCATTCACTAGTCCAGGTGCCTGCCTGGCAATGGACCTGTGCCCTGCGCCAACCAAAGGGTCACCCACAAATGCCTTGGGGGTGCAAGGGGGAGGGGCTTCAGATCTAGCCTTTGTTTAAACCCCCTCCCCAGGAGGAGGCTGCTCCCATAGCCACCCCCACTGCCCAGTTAACAGAGGGGGAGGGGCTGTGAGTGCAGCCTCGGGTGGAGGGACTCACGCGTTGCGCACAGGAGGATGCAGACCCTGAGCCAACAGTCCCCTCTTGTACTGCACAGACAGCAACCCCAAGCAGAGCCAGATTTCCCAGCATCACCCCTGTGACATCCCTGTACTTGCAGCAGGCCTGGGAGCCCCCTGGAGTGACCCAAAGGGAAGGGCAGCCCTGCCCAGCCCAGTGCAGCCTGGGCACCAACTTCAGGGAAAACACACAAATCAGCTCGGATCAGATGGAGCGTGGACTGCAGTGCAGACCCAGCCCTGAGCACTGAGGGTGGCCGGGAGCAGACCCCACCCAGAGGAAAGGAAGGAGTTTCAGGCCGTGAATAAGACGGGCAGTTTAGAGAAGGCCGCTGGCTCGAGGGCAGGGTCCAGGAGGTGGCCAGTTAGGGGAGGCGGTGGGAAAGCAGATGGTGGGGGCAGAGGCGGGCAGCATCGTGTGGACAGCACTGCACATGAGTGAGACAGGGCTGGGGAGGCACAGGGATTTTGTACCAAGTGACTGGGTCAGGGCCAGGTGTTCCTATAAAACCTGACTCGTTCAGGGAAGGCCGTCTGGGCAGGTGGCCCTGGGCCCCATCCCCATCCCTGCCAACTTTCTTTGATTGCTGAACTTGGTTATGGTCATCAGGAAGCTGGGAGATGCTACGGAAAGTCAAATCACTTTCACAACAGGTACATCGACCATCTCTGGCAGGTCTCAGCAACTCTGAGGACAAACAGGAGGAGAAGAGGGGTCTCAAGAAGGAGAGAGGGTTTCAGAACAGGAAGCCTGATCCGGTCCAGCTGTTTGGACCCTGAGCAGAAGCCCCTCCAGTGGCACGGCCGTGACACATCCTGGCCTCTTCACCGTCCAACTCAGAGGTTTCACCTCTCGGCCTGGCCTTCCTGTGCCCCAGTTCCATCTTGGGCTTTCTCCCCTAGGAGATGTTGGGTGCTCAGGGCCTTCAGCAGTTCAAGGGAGGGGGCGCCAGCCGCCCAGATGACCCAAGTTTCCCAGGAGAGGCCTGTGTCCTACATCCAGCAAAGGTGAGTTGGAGCCAAGTGGCCACCCATCAGTATGCAATCCAAACACCGGCCAAGGCCCCTTGGCCAGTAATAAACCCAGCTGGCTGCAAAACAGGCCCGAGAGCCCAGGATACAACCCTGCCTGGGTAATGATTAACAGGCAACTCAGGGCCCTGGAGGTCACACTGATAATGAGAAAGTTTCCCTGAGCTATCTCAAGTGCAGAGGGCCCCGGGGAGGGGCCCTGCTGGCGCCCGACTCTGACTCCAGCTAACGCTTCCTGCCTCTCCAGGGCCTGCTCGCTTCAACGACCCAATGTGGCCCTGCCCACGGGTACAGGGGCCTGACGTCAGGAGCCTGGGGACATGGCCCTGGTAAAGTCCACAGTGAGGACACCAACGGGGGGCGTCCTCTAGGAGGCAGCTTTTCCCGGGACCCAACACAGATAAGCCTTTCCAAGATGAGAAGGCTGCGTGGCTTCTTATCTTTATGGCTCGCTGGTCCTGAGCCTTGGAGGGCCTCTCTCCAAGAGAAGTGAAACTCAGAAAGTATTTTCAGCAGGACGTTCAGCTTTTTTTTTTTTCCTTTTTGAAAAGCACTTTGGCATCTTGCAATGAAATTCTCCAGCAACTTTCTTCCAAACTTCCTGAACAACTTCAAACGCAGAACAAGTGAGGATGGCTAAGCACCTGATTTGGGTCTATCATGGCGCCTTGCAGAGTGCAGGAGAATCCTTTCAATGGGGAGGCAAGGCCAACGGAGAAGCAATAACAATAAAAAGGACTCTAAGAGACTTCTCTGGTGGTCTAGCAGCTAAGACTCCGTGCCTGCAGTGCAGGGGGCCTGGGTTCCATCCCTGGTCAGGAAACTAGATCCCACATGCCGCAACTAAGAATTCAGTGCGTGTGTCACTGAAGTGCTAAGTCACTTCAGTTGTGTCTGATTCTTTGAGACCCCATGGGCTGTAACCTGCCAGGCTCCTCTGTCCATGGGATTCTCCAGGCAAGAATACTGGAGTGTGTTGCCATGCCCTCCTCCAAGGATCTTCCTGACCCAGGGATCAAACCTGCGTCTCTTTTTTCCTCCTGCACTGGCAGGCGGGTTCTTTACCACTAGTGCCACCTGGGAAGCCCAAGAGTTCTCATGCCTCAACTAAGACCTGGTGCAGTCAAATTAATTAATTAATTATCTAAGATGAAGGGCCTACAAAGCCTCAGTGTTCTAGGAAATCACAATGTCAGCAGAGGATGAATGGTGTCTCCCAATCTGCAAACAGATGTGAAAACTCACTGGAAGGCATATGAATGTCAGGACGAAGATGGCGCCATGAGCCACCATCCCAGCTCTGGCTCCAGCACCTTCTATCAAACCTTCTATTGAGGTCCTCATCCACCGATAGGGTCCCAACTGACAGACATTTCACACTGTCACTCCTTTACCTTCCACTCCACCAGCACCTCTGAACTGACAGCAAGGGTCAGAAACACCCTTCCTACTAAGGACAGAAGCTAGGAGACTATTGGAACACTTTCCAAGCTCTCCTTGTAGAACGGCTCTCCTTGTACTGTTCCTTGAAAAAGCTGATCCTGATTCCTGCCGACACACCCATCACCTGGCACTCCAGGCGGTCGCCGGATGTCATCAAATATTGACATCCTGTCCGGGTGAGCGGGCAGCCAGCTCTGGGATCCTCTAACCTCGGGAGGCCACCCACTGAGCCGTGTGCTTAGAGCCTTTTATTTGTGATCTAATTCATCAGCTAGCTTGTACCAAGAACCCAGCTTATCTCTCCAGTCAGGGTCTACTGGGCAAGTGACTTTTTCCCCTTCTTTAGATGAGTACGATCACGCCGATCTTCTCTCAAATATGTTGTACTTTAAAATGCCCACAGAAATGTCCCTGGTGGTCCAGTGGTTAAGAATCCACCTGCCAATGCAGGGAACAATGGGTTCCACCCCTGGTCGGGGAAGAGCCCACGTGCTTTGGAGCAAATAAGCTTTCGAGCCACAACTACTGAGCCTGTGAGTCACAAGGACTGAGCTCACGAGCTGCAACTACTGAAGCCCAAACACGCAAGAGCCCGTGCTCTGCCACAAAGAGAAGCCACCGCAATGAGAAGCCCACACTCTGCAACTAGACACTAGTCCCCGCTCGCCGCAACTAGAGAAAGTCTGTACACAGCAACGAAGACCAGTGCAGCTATAAACAAGTAAACAAATTTTAATATACATTTCTAAAAATAAATAAAATGTATTAAAATATAAATAAGAAAAATACAAAATAAATATATAAAAAAACATTATGTGCCATCGATGGAAATAAAACCACCTCCTGTAAAGGAAGTAATCTGGACACCCCCCCCCAAAAAAAGCAACAAGACCTATCAAGTTTCCAGACCTACCAACTAGTGTACAGGAAACACAGAACCAGAGAAAAATATCAAATGACACCCAGGGCTGCACGTGGCAGCATCTAGAACATTGGAAACCATATCTTGATTGATCTCTATCCTTGCTGGGTACATGGCCGGGGAGGGGGCGGGTGGTTATTGTATTTACTCTGCTTCTATGAATGTGTGAAATTTTTGATAATAAGGGTTAAAAATAACTACAAGTATTTGGCACATACACATGTACACAAATACAAAGCAACACTCAGACACCTCTCCATAACCCACCGTGCTTGGAGACAGTGATAAGGAAAATGTGAAGGATGGACCCACACCCCACCTGCTGTTATGGGCCCCTTCCCTGCCCTCTCATCTCCACCTGGACCAACAGGCTCAAGGGCCCCCACGCCCTCCTTCCCCTGCAGATCCTGGCCTTGCACAGTCCCAGGGCACAGGGCTGGGGCCCACAGGCTCTGAATGGTGTGGTCATGATGGGTTCCAGGAAACACCACGTCTGGGTGCATGGATGCTGATCTGACTCTGCCAGTCACCAGCTGAGAGACTTTGGGCAAATAACTCCTGTGAGTGTCACTTGACCTCTCTGAGCGCTGATGCCTTCCTCTGTCAAAAAAGGAGAATTATTTGTTCAGAACACACTGTGATGGGTGGGACAATGAAGATAAGAATCTCTGCTCTTAGGAGGGAGACCGTGCTTCAGGAATGTCCAGCACAAGGCTGGACGCCAGAAGGACCATCCCAGAGGCAAAGGCCACTAAAGAGTTCTGGGCAGAAGAGAATTATTTGTCCCTGAATATGAGGGAAGGCTCCCTGGAATAGGTGGCATTTGAGCTGGACCCTGGTAGACAGACTGGCAGGGGACAGGAAGAAGAGAGGAAGCCAGCAGAGGGAGCCCTGAGCCCATGAGAAGGAAGATGCCTGGCTGTAGGTCTGAGAAGGTAGGTTCCATCCCTGGGTCAGGAAGATCCCCTGCAGGAGGAAATGGCAACCCGCTCCAGTACTCTTGCCTGAAAAATTCCACGGAAAGAGGAGCCTGGTGGGCTACAGAACATGGGGTTGCAAAGAGTCGGATACGACTGAGCAACTAACATACACATACAGGTTACAAAGAGAGGGTGGCTTAGGGAGAAAGACCTGATGCCATTTGCAGCCAGAAAGAGGAGGGACCCAGGGCAGCCTCTGTGAACCAGCTCTGATGGTAACAAAGACAGAAGACGTCTGACAGTACAGCGGGCTTCCTCCTCCTAGGGAAAAGGCACACAGACACACAGACACCACACACACACACACACACACACAGGGGTGTGAAGACCGAACCAGGGTCTTGTGCATTGCAGGCACATTCCTTACCATCTGAGCCACTGTGGAAGGCCAAGTTTGGGGCAGGAGTTCACAAACCATGTAGGAGAGAAAGGACAGCTGGAAAAAGGAAAGACGCCAACTGCCACATGCAGACACATTCGCCCCCAAGATTAGGCGGGGAAATGTGTCCTCTTTTTCCCCATGTCGGACCTCTTTGCATCCTGCCCAGGTTCATTCTAGAATCAGTCCTCCAGGACTGAGAGAACGGGTCGGGGAGCCACCTGACCCCTGCAGCCAGAGCCTGGCTCCCTGAGGGGATGATGGGAAAGAGGCCACCCTGCCCCCACTGCCTAGCACACCGCGTTCTCTCTGTTCTCTCTATAGAAAAATGGCATCACAAAATCAAAATGCACGTGGGTAAAGAAACATAAGAAAAATGTTCCATCAGGCAGCTGATTCACAGAAGGGTCCATTTCTGTTTGTGGTATTTGTAGGCTTTTTAAAATTTGTAACTTGATGAGACTTTTCTCTTCTTATTCTTTAAAAAAAAAAAACCTCTAGCAAACTCGGTCTTATTTTTCTTAAACTTCAGCACCCCCTCCCCAAATCCTCATCCCAAGTTGTCACAGTAGAGAACACCCCCAAATGTGCACCTACCCTTGTTCCAGGGCAAGTGAAGCTCCTGGGAGCTCCCCTGCCCACAGCCCACCTCTCCTTGTCCCTCCTTAACTTGACTGACGGATGCCCAGTGCCCACAGGGAGCAATGGGCAGCTGTAGGTAGGGCCATGGGACCCTGATGGCAAATGGACTCTGTGGGAATGCAGGCCTGGGAAGATCGCGGACCCTGAGAGCCACAGCGACCTGGTTAGGTTCACTGCCCACCTTCTGGGGGCCTCTGGACACACTGCACCCCTCCCACCCCCACCCCGGCCAGCAAGAGAGCCAGAGACGACGGAGTACGAAGGAGCCAGTGGGGAACAGCACTGGTGGAGACAGAAGCCAGTGTCCTGAGGGGACCCCGTGTGGTTTCTGGCGGTGGCCCCCTCCACGGTCACAGCTTGGGACACAGTGGCTGAGGCCCCCAAAGTGGACTCTGAGGCCCAGCTCCCTCGGGAGTCCACCTCACGGCTCTCACCCTCATCTGATGCTCTGCAGGCTGCTGATCCTCTCCAAGCTACTCCCAAGAGACGCGACTGTCTCCACTGCCAGCAGAACCCAGCCCTGCACCTCCGGATTTCAGAGGCTGCTCGAGAAACACTTGCTAAATACGTGCATGCTGAGTCATGTCTGACTCGTTGCAACCCCATGGCC